GTCAGAGACACATTTGTATTTTCTTAGTCTTATGATTCAGGGAATAGAATGAAAGAGATTGACTTTTAGTTTCTAAAGATAGTATTGATAAGCTTAGTTGGTTCTGTAAAGCAGCAAGCCCTTCCACTATTTGATTTGAGGGGTGTAAGGAAAAACTTCTTGTCCCTGGATATATCTTCCATCCACCTGCCACCATGTCTGAAATGCCCATTAGTCTACTTTTTAGCTTCAGGCATTCGAGGCTCCAATAAAATTCAAAAATTTCACTGAAAGGGACAAGGTAAGTGTGGCAGCATTAATTATTTCTCTTCATTTGGCTAACCAATGATTTAGTAAGGACTTCAGAGAATAGGATATGGGCGGGAAAGTTTAACTAGTTTTAACTAGGCGATGGGAGAAAAGGTCCTGAGCTGGGATTGCACTGTTGCCTGTTTATAAACCTCCCAATTGTCTAGTGAATTCATTGTGATAATAGAGCCAGCATTCATAGAGGGTATACTATATGCCAGGCACTGTTTTCATTTAATCTTCAAAGCAACCTTATGAGATAATTGCTATTGCTATCCCTAGTTTACAGATTAGGGAACCGAGGCCCAGAGAAGTTAAGTAGTTTGTCTGAGACTGCTTGTAGAGGGGATAGCCATTGTTTTCCACTGTGCAGTTCTCCCGTGTGTCTTGGCTGCCTAGCATAGTTCCTTGCCCACGGTAGGTGCCCAGTAACCCAATTCAGAATGTGGAGAAAGAAGTAAAAAAGCTTTTAAAGGTTTTCCTTCACAACACCTGCTCTATTAAGTTGAGGGGATACAAATTTGGATTACTTGGATTTTTAGTTTTGTCATTCTCAAAGCTCTGTTATTTCTCTGAAATTGGTAACTGATGATACTCATTTTTTACTCATTTTGTTCTTATTATAGCAAAAGAGTTCCTCAAAAGTTTCATTATAAAAACAAGAAACTCTGTTTAGTAACATAATTTTAACAAATTAATGAAGGCTAACTTAATTGACCTGGCAGTTTTTTGTTACCATGTAGGTTTGATTAGGCTTCCCAGGACATCTGTTGTACACTTGGTCCGTGAAATGTTTCTTTCATCTTTCATTTTACCCTCTTTTCATCCAGGTGAAGAATCTAGATGGAGGAATATTTTTACATAGAAAGTCAAGTAGAAAACACCCTATTTCAGAAATAAACAGAACATTGTCACAAGAGCCTTTTCTTTCTTCTTACAAACTCTGGACCCTTAGCTACTTTGGTGTTGTTTGACATCGACAGTGTAGTGTGACCAGAAGTCAGCCCTAGTCAACTTTGGGGAAAGGACTTGGTGGAATGGAGGAAAATTAAACCTGACGGTGAAAGGCAGGTTTGGTTTTTATGGCTATACGTTATCAGTGCACTATCCATCTTTTTGCTGTGGATAATTGAGAGGTAGCTGATTATCTGGCCAGGTCGTTATAAAACTGACAAGTCAGAATTGTAGACTTTCCCAAATCATAAGCACAGGAATAAAAATGCTGTATTTTTTGTATACAGGTTCAAGAAAGATTGACTTTCTAAATGAGTAACTATTTGGGGGAAGAGAATGCTATCACCTTTATAAAGCTGTGAATTATGAAAGACATTTCTGTTGGGTTACTGAATGTCCCTTGGGGTTTGTTTCATTTATAACATTGCCTCAGGCCTTCTGCTGCATCCTGTTGGAATGACCTCCTTTTCAACCCTGTGCTGGCAGCTGTAATACGCTCTTTCCTCTAGATCCTTCAGGCTTGTCACATGACAAACATGAACTGTGACCCCTTTGTTCCTTACCCAGATGATTAGGTCTCTTTATTTTTTTTTTTCTGTTTAGCAATTTTGCCTTCTTTTTACCCCCACCTCTTGCTTCCATTTTAATTTCCTACCAAGACAAGGTTTTTCATGGCAGTCTAATTTTTTTTATTGAAGTGTAACATCAGTATGAAAAGTTCACACATTATAAGCTCACTGAATTTTTTTCCCAGCATGAACACACTCATATAGACAGTACTTAAATCAAGAAAGGGACATCACCAAAACTCTAGAAAACTTCAATTCTCTTCTGACTACTTCTTATCGCCCCCAGGGGAACTCACTGTCCTGACTTTTCTAGCTTTGCCTGTTTTGGGATGTGGTAGAAATGGAATCATACAGTATGTATTTCTTTTTCATTCAGCATTTTTGTAATATTCTTCCATGTTATGTTACACAGTTGTTATTGCTGTGTAGAATTTCACGATATGAATAATCCACTATTCTACCTTTAATTGGCATTGGGATTATTTCTAGTTTAGGGCGATTGTGAATAATAGTGCTAAACATTCTGGGTATTTAAATAGATGTGGAATTGCCAAAACATAGTATTCATCTAGCCATTCAGTTTAAAAGTTCATATAAAACACTAAACTACTTATTTTAGGCAAACTCTTGGTAAGAAACATTTGTAAACATATATAGATTCAGCTTTAGCATAATATGTCTAATTTATGGCTAAAGAAAGTACTTTTAGTTAAATGTGCTGTAGTTTTAAACAGATAACTCCTGTAAATAACAAAATTGCCACTCACTGCCAGTTATACATTTTACTTTCTTCCTAATATGTACTTTTTATTCAATTTTCCAAAGCTGAATTGTTGGGCCCAGTCTGCAAAAATCTTATGAAGATATTTGGATGGTAATAATTTACAGTAGTCAAGATTGCATCTGAGTTAAATCACCTCCGAGTAGCAATGCTAGCAGAGAAGAGTGACATTCTAGTGCTTCACTGCCATGCTTAGCCGAAGCTCCAGAGGCTGACATTTTTACTTGTACAAATTGCATTCATTACCAAGAACCCTGCAGAACTAGTGAGAGACTGGCTCTATGCTGTAGATGGGCTCCAGGATAAGTAACCAAACAGTTGTGCAGCAGAGACCAATCTTTCTTTTTTCTCTCTTAAGACATGGACTTTCTACAATTTGTAACATGGATACTTATGAACAAGTTTAACCTAATGAATGTAAAAATATGATTGTGATACCATATTTTTCAAAAACTGTGTAGTATCTTTTAAGAAAATTTTATTTGACCGTTAGATAAAGTGCTCCCCAGGTCATACTGTGAACATGCATGGAATTCAGTGGACTGTTTTTGACCATGGTGTTTTGGAGACTTTAAAGGATTCTCCTCACCTCCTTCAAAACAACCAAAAAAGTGGAGGGAATACTTAAGATTTGATGGTTATAAAAGGACAGTAACAGAACCAGAAGATTTGCTTTCTGTCTTTTCTTATATATGTCTGTTGGGTGGGTAAAGGAGAGTTGCCAGTCTTATCAAGGTATTTTTTGAAACAAAAGATGGTAAAAAGAATTAAAGAATAAAGAATTTCATTTTTTATAAACCATCTTTTGAGAATTCTGTGTTTTCTTCCAATTAAAAAAATTGTAATAAATTTGCATATCGATATTTAGAGAGCTATGTATTTACATATTGATATTTAGAAAACTGTCTTAATACAGAAGTACTGGGTTTCATTCATTTTTTTTTTTTTTTGAGACAGAGTCTCACACTGTTGCCCTGGCTAGAGTGAGTGCCGTGGCGTCATCCTAGCTCACAGCAACCTCAAACTCCTGGGCTCAAGTGATCCTCCTGCCTCAGCCTCCCGAGTAGCTGGGATTACAGGCATGCGCCACCATGCCCGGCTAATTTTTTCTATATATTTCTAGTTGTCCAATTAATTCTTTCTATTTTTTAGTAGAGACGGGGTCTCGCTCTTGCTCAGGCTGGTTTCGAACTCCTGAGCTCAAACAGTCTGCCCGCCTCGGCCTCCCAGGTTTCATTCATTTTTAAATGACATAAGTCACATTGGTTGTTCTGTTTTAAACCAGTACATTCAAATCAGAAAATATTGTTGATGATCTGTGTTGTTCTGTGTATTCTGCTAAGCCCAAGAGGAGACAGAAACGATTGTTCCTGTCCTCAGAAGGCATATGGTCTAGTGGGTGTGTGGTGGTGGGAGCATATACAGATTACTATACTATAATGTAAGGTAATTGCCACAGTGAGAATTCTTTGTGGGGAGGGGACAGGTAGACCCATTTTTGATGGGTTTTAAAAGATGAGTAGATGGGCCTAGAGTGGCCCCTTCGCTGGTCTCTGCCTCTTGGCAGAGGAACGGTGTGCCTGGAGTTAAAATGCCATGTAAAGGACAATGGGAAATAAGCCTGGAGGGAAGCCAGGGTGATGAGTTTATATAGATACCCACCTGATACGGTGGATAATATAGCACAGTAATTAAGGGCACGCACTCTAGATGATATTAGAAATTGAGTCCCAGCTCAATTTTGCTTTGTGACCTTAAACAGATTGCTTAACCTATCTATGCTCAGTTTCCTCCTTTGATAAATGGGGATGGCACTCGTATAACTTGCTGCAATGCTGTATAAAAGAAAAGAGATATGTGTCAAAAGTGCTTAACATACCTAACATTTAACAAGTTTTCAAGTAGCTTCTCTGAACAGTGGGTAACCATGGAAGATTTTGGAACCATGGTATGGTTGGATCTTAACCATGCAAGGCTTTTACTGTTGACATACAAAAGACTGCACACATTTGAAGTGTACAGTTTGTTAGATTTTTATGTATGCATACACCTTTGAAATCATCAGCACAATCAAAATAATAAACACATCTATCACTCCCAAAAGTTTTGTATAAGACCTTTAAAGAGGAAAGTCTGGCCTGCAAGGAAAGAATGGAGCACAGTAGAGCCTGGAAGTGGAGAAGTCAGTTCAGAGGCTATTGCCATGGTCTGGGTAGTAGGGAAAGAATGGCCGAGGTCGTGAGGGGATGGGGGCCATCTGAGACGGGGCGGCTGGAGGACAGGGCTGAGTCTTCATCTTTACGTTCTCCCCAGTACCCGGACCAGAGGACAGGGGGCTCATACATGCTCGAATTTCTCTTCATGAAAGATTCTTTATTTTAAACTGCTTCTCCTTTTATTCTTTTTAGGGGTTAAAAGACAACCTTGCTTCTGGGACATCTAGCCTGACCACCACCAAACAGTTACTCCGTCCAAGAATCACGAGAGTCTGCCTCAGGGACTTGATATTCTGTATGGAACAGGAAAGGGAGATGAAGTATTCTCGAGCTCTATACCTTGCCCTTCTGAAGTGACTGCTCCACTCTCCATCCAGATCCTTGCTGTTTACTGCCAAAGAAGACATAACGAGCATTGTTGCACTGTCCTGAAATTTCAATTTGTGGAAAATAATCACCAATATGGAAGATCATTGTTTACAGTTATAAACTTTTATGAAGTCTTACCTATCCATCCCATGACGTTCTTACAGATTAGAATTCATCTTTGTTTTCTGAAAATCAGTTATGAAATGCACTTTACACAGAAGTAGGCATTTGTCTACCTGTGCGTTTAATTAGAGCAAGTTAAGCCCTGTTTGTTACTACCTGCTTCATTTGCCAAATTGTAACAGGTGAGTTGTCTTTCCCTAATACAGCCTGCTTTGAGATGCAGGAGAAAGGAAGAGTTACTGCAAGAAAATGTAAAAAAAAATACATTTCATCCTATACTGAACCAGTCTCAAAGTATGTTAGGTTGTCTGGGCTGGAATCAGAAGTCGCTTAGCTAACTATGACAGTCACCTTCTGTAGTTGAAGGTGACTGGCCACAAAGTAGGGCTTGTGATGACTGGTCAACCGAGTCCTGGTATTGTCAAGATGAGACAAATGGGGATAGATTGTGCCTGGGGTTGCTAATTCTCTGGTTCATATCACCATGTGCTGCTTTCGATACCAAGTGATGGGACATCTTTGTCAGCCAAACCCTAAAATTGAAGCTGGTAATGTACCTCATTGAGAAAATGGAAAAGGTGGAAAGGATTGGAAGGAATGATGGGATGTTGCATTCAAACTGATGAGGAAAGATGAAAATGGAGTCATAAAACAGGAAATGTGCCGCATGTGCCCAAGGAGAGCAGCGGTGGGATTGGAACTCCAGAAAAACTGGTACATGTTTTGTTGATGGGGCGGGGGGGAAACCACAGCCCAACCCAAAAGGAAAATGTGCCAGACAGGATCTCACTATATTGCCCAGGCTAGTCTTGAACTGGTCTCAAGCAGTCTTCCCAAGTAGCTAGGACTGGTCAAATTATACTATTTCAAAAGGCAGAAGTTATTTTTTATTTTTGTTTTAAATCCCAAGAAGGATGGTTTTTGTAGTTCCTTCTCTCATAATATCTTTTAGTTACCCTAAGTTTTAAGCATCTTGATGCATTTAAAAATCCTAATTGATGATTAAAAAATTTTAACAATAGGACTCCATTTGGGATTCTGTCCTTAAAAGGTAATGTCAGTACCTCACTGTTGGGTATCTTGGCTATAAATATGAGAAGCGTGTTATATATTCATGTGAGGAAGAAGCTGATGGGCAATGTAAATCCTCTTTAAAAAAATGTTCCACCTGTGCGGAATGAACCTGGTGAAAAATAATAACTAGTTAGAATCACGGGCAGAAAGAATGATTAAATCCTCCAATAGGGTTTAAAAAATGTGAAATGCTGTGCTTTTTAGAAACAGAATTCAGAGGTGGAAAAAACCACCTCAAGTATGTTACTCTTCATCCTGTTCTTCCCATTGGGACTGTTCTGGCCATATTATATACTATAGTAAGTTTTAAATGGGCCACATTTTTTGTTTCAGCAAGTTATTATGTAAGATGCTATAAATTATGTGTATGTTAAGAGTACTTTAAGAAGAGATCTATACCCAAAGTCGTTTTTGTATATTTAAATGCTTAGCTTTATTTTTTTGTAAAGTGCAGCATACTCTCATATTTGTGTATAATCTTATTGATCAGATGTTTAAAATTATTTCAAATACTTCATTAAAGTAATTATTTTACATAAGAATAACTTTGCTTAGTCACTGACTTTGAAAACAATTGTCATTAGTAGTCAGTCCCCGAAGTGCTTAAATCTTCTGGGCAGTGAATCTTTCTTGGCTCTGATCGTTAGTTACTTTGGAGTGTGGGCATCTGGATTCCAGAAACTCACTTCAGATCCAAGTTGCTATAATATATCACTTTCTTTGAAATAGTTGTAAATTTGCATGCTATTTGGCTCACAAAGTAAAGCATATTTATTAAAGCTTTTCTTGGCCCATCAGGGTTTTCTTACTAAGGTATTCTTTTTCGAAATTTATTTTTACTATACATTTTTAAACTTTGTGTTAAGTGTATCTTACACAGAAAAGAATAAGTGTGTCTAAGGTATTCTTCCACTTAGTTTGCAAAAAGGGTGGCTTTGGGGTAGATTTGACCTATGAATGCATTCTCCTGACTCACACAGTATTCCCAATGTTTTAATTCACAAGAATCTATTTATACATTTCTTTTGAAATATTAGAAGATCGGGAATAACTAAGTTTACCCTTTTGTGTGACAGCAATCCACTGGCGCAAACCAGTGGCTGTCTACATTCCGTATGGGGCATATGTTCACCTTCCCTTGCCTGATTCTTGAAGCATTGGACTTTGTGAGCCTCTGCCTTCAGTATTTGTCTTGGGTGATGAACAGTGAAAGATGAAAGTGCCAGAAATTCTGCATCTGTTTACTATTTTTAAAGAAACTTTATTGAGGAATATTTTACATATGAAATTTGCCCATTTCATTTACTTTTAATATGACTAATCTTTTAAATGGTTTCTTGCTGAACATCTTTGAGATTCTTCTTTTTTAAAAAAGTGAAGCTTAACATTTCTTAACTGCTTTTTAGGTAAATTTTGTTTTTTTAGAATTTTGGCAAAACCTTGTTTATTTTTTTTTTCTTTTTTCTTTTTTTCCTATTATATGCCAGTGCAGGAACAAAACTTTGTTCAGAATTAAGACCATTTATGCTTGTTATATCATGGTGGTAGCAGAGGTTGCATGCAATGTTAGGGCATATTCTTTAGAAAAATATGAAACCAAGATCTTAGGCTGGTTAGGTTGGACCTTATCTCTTTGCTGAGTTGTACAATGAACCAACTAAATGTTTATAAAACTTTGTCCTCAACAAGACTCAGTGATTCTGCAGGACATAAAAGTATAATGTCACATGTTGACACATGACCTAGTGGCCAGTTTTTATTTTGTTGTTAGTATTCCTGTCCTTTCAAGCACTTTCATAGCCTCTCTGAACCGACATGGCTTTTTTATTTTACGTGTGGGTATGATTCACATCAGATACCAACATCTTTTTTTCTGAGTTTTTACCACCTCTTAGTATCTTCATATACATTTTGTTTGTATTGCATTTGTGCGTTAGCTTTTTCACAGAAGTCGTTTCACCATTTGGAAATTGGTCCTCAGTAGAATATTTTTGTCATATTTTTCTTTTGGGTAATATTCAAAGACTGTGCTGTGCAAACAAGAAACCTAGTGTTCACCACCATATACCTACACACTGGCTGGTTAGGTGAAGGAACAGGTACGTAAAGTAATAGGGTCAGAGTCTATGTAGACTTTGCCACGTTGCATATCTGTGGGAAAAAAATATTCCCAAGGAACTCATTTTAAGACTTTTGACTTTGTTGGTAAACCTGATGAGAATAATTTTAATGACCACTCTTTTAAAATAATAATGTCAGGTGGACATGTTTCTCAGTTCTCTTATTAAAGGTGGTGTTGAGACAGTATCGCCTGTGCGTAAGAGCACACTCTGGCTTCCCATCCCTGGCCTGTTACCAGTGTGTTACCTTGGGCAAATTAGTTCACTTCTCTGTGCCTTTGTTTCCTCATCTGTCAACAACTGTACCTACCTGTGAGGTGACTGGAAGGATTTAATTGTCATATGTAAAGCACTTAGAATAGTGCTTTCCATGTGAACAGTGCTAGAACCTGTAGTAAACAGTATACAGTCACACGTTGCTTGATGACAGGGATACAGAGAAGTGTGTCGTTGGGTGATTTTGTTATGCGAGTATCGTAGAATGTACTCACAGAAACCTAGATGGTAGAGCCTGCTACACAGCTAGGCTGCGTGGTAGAGCCTGTGGCTCCCAGACTGCAAACCTGTTCAGCATGTTACTATACTGAATGCTGTAGGCAACTGTAACATGATGGTAAGTATTTGAGCATCTAAACACACCTAAATACAAGGTACAATAAAGATACTGTATTACGATCACGTTGCACCTGACTGTATGTTAGTGGTTGTTAGATTTTGAATGGCGTAGCTCTACTTCTGCCCATCTCCAGTTCTGTATTATATTGATGAAGGTCACTGGCTTAATGCCTTGGTGTCTTATTTAAAGAGTTCACAGATCTTGTGAAATTCTTATGTATTGCATTGGGGCTTGAGGGATGGATGGGAGGCTGGAAGGAGAAAGATATGTTAATAGAGTGGAGCCATTTGACAGAGTAATTCTCATGTTCGTGGCTTTGCCTAATAAGTTTCCTGTGGGATTGGAAGCAGTGAAGAATCCCTACCATTACTTCCGAATTTTTAATTGAAAACATTATAGATACATGGCAAACATTCAAACAGTATAAAAGGGCATACCAAAATCATTCTCTTACTCTCAGACCGCCCCAGATCCCCTCCCTAGATCTGTCCTCCCTAGATTCACCTACTTTTACCAGTTTCATGTATCTCTTTTTTTTTTTTTTTGAAAAATGCAGCATTGTGTTCCAACAATTTCATGTATCTCATTCCAGCATAGATTATATAGATAGAAGCTCATAGTTTTATATTCCCCCTTTATTTGCATATGACAGCATGTTGATCTATATCCTTTGCCATTTTCAAAATCCCATTGTTCCTAATTCAATTTATACCATGTTCCAGGCCAGGAGTCCTGGTAGAATCTTGCAGTAATCTTTGGGAAAACAGCACATGAGTTTTTTCCTCAAGGGATTTAGTTGCAGATTTTCTTACTATTTTGTAAATCTTACTGCTTCGCTTGAAGAATCCAGTCATGTCTGAACGTGTGAACACTGTTCCTCTACAAAGAGGCATCGTGAAAATCAAGACGAGTAGAGATTTCCTAAGGGAGGGAGGTAGGGAGGGGGAAAGAAGAAAAGCCGTTTAAGAGAAGGTTTGAGTGTTCTGGTTGTAATTATAAAGTTTCACTGACAGCATCGTCCCACCATGAGCACTAATATCCTGAAAACCAACCTGAATTTAGGACCATTCCAACTTCTGTAAAATTTATATTCTTTGTTAAAAATTATGGATAAGAATACGGATGATCTAAATCTGACATTCCTGGGAGGACCCCTGATGGGATGGATGCCTGATACCAAAAATACTCATTTAGCAAACTTACAAGAGTTTTCTGTATGGGAGGCACTATGGGAACCTGTTGTATAAGACACAGTCCTCGTCCTGAAAGGGCTGTCTGGTCAGAGACGGGATATGTGTGTAAACAGACTCATGTAAAGTAGCACATACTGTTCCAAGGAGTGGTGTAAATAGTGGTTCTCGTGGGACCCTTAGGAAAAAGATCTTCCAAATGGAACAATTACATTGAATAAAGCAATGAAATTTGATCTCAGCTGTGAAAAAAGAATGAATAAGGTTTTTTAGTCATATATTCCAGGA